CACAGCTCTAACCACATCATCAAGTTCGCTGACAACGCAACCGTGGTTGGACTCATCAACAGCAACGACGAGTCAGCGTACAGAGATGAGGTTCAGCAGCTGGCGTTCTGGTGTAGTGAGAACAACCTGTCACTAAATGTGGACAAAACCAAGGAGATGATCGTTGACTTCAGGAAGACTCGCTCCACCCACACACCGCTCAGCATCCACGGTTCCATTGTTAACTGTTAACTGCACCAAGTTCCTGGGAGTTCATACCTCAGACGACCTCACCTGGACCACTAACACCACTTCATCACCAAAAAGGCCCAACAGCGCCTCCACTTCCTGAAATGCCTGAAGCGGGAGAACCTCCCACCCTCACCATATTCTACAGGGGCATCATAGAGAGCGTTCTGACCAGCTGCATCTCCGTGTGGTTTGGAAACTGCAAAGTCGGTGACCTCAGCCAGCTACATCGGATCATCAAAGCAGCTGCCAAGATCATCGGAACATCTCTCCCTCTGCTACAGGACATCTTTCACAAACGCTGCATCAGTAAGGCCTCCTGCATCGTGTGTGACCCCTCACACCCCTCACATGGACTCTTTTCCCTCCTGCCATCTGACAGATGCTATCGCAGCATTGGCGCCCGATCCTCCTGACAGATAGCTTTCTCAAAGTGTATACTCACTCCCCTTACCTCAGTCTCAAGTGTGTGTGGGTGGTTTATCCTTCAAGCTCGGGTCCTCTACCAGAGGCCTGGGAGCTTGAGGGTCCTGCGCAGTATCTTAGCTGTTCCCAGGACTGCGCTCTTCTGGACAGAGATCTCCGATGTTATTCCCGGGATCTGCTGGAGCCACTCGCCTAGCTTGGGAGTCACCGCACCTAGTGCTCCGATTACCACGGGGACCACCGTTACCTTCACCCTCCACATCCTCTCGAGCTCTTCTCTGAGCCCTTGGTATTTCTCCAGCTTCTCGTGTTCCTTCTTCCTGATATTGCTGTCATTTGGAACTGCTACATCGATCACTACGGCCATCTTCTTCTGTTTGTCTACCACCACTATGTCCGGTTGGTTAGCCACCACCATTTTGTCCGTCTGTATCTGGAAGTCCCACAGGATCTTAGCTCGGTTATTCTCCACCACCCTTGGGGCATCTCCCATATTGACCTCGGGACTTCCAGGTTATACTCGGCACAGATGTTCCTGTACACTATGCCGGCCACTTGGTTATGGCGTTCCATGTATGCCTTGCCTGCTAGCATCTTGCACCCTGCTGTTATGTGCTGGATTGTCTCTGGGGCATCTTTACACAGCCTGCACCTGAGGTCTTGCCTGGTGTGATAGACCCCAGTCTCTATGGATCTTGTACTCAGAGCTTGTTCTTGTGCTGCCATGATTAGTGCCTCTGTGCTGTCTTTCAGTCCAGCTTTGTCCAGCCACTGGTAGGATTTCTGGATATCAGCCACCTCCTCTATCTGCCGGTGGTACATACCGTGCAGGGGCCTGTCCTTCCATGATGGTTCCTCGTCTCCCTCCTCTTTCTTGGGTTTCTGCTGCCTGAGGTATTCACTGAGCACTCGGTCAGTTGGGGCCATCTTCCCAATGTATTCTTGGATGTTCGTTGTCTCATCCTGGACTGTGGTGCTGACACTCACCAGTCCCCGGCCCCCTTCCTTCCGCTTAGCGTACAGCCTCAGGGTGCTGGACTTGGGGTGAAACCCTCCATGCATGGTAAGGAGCTTTCTTGTCTTTATGTCAGTGGCTTCTATCTCCTCCTTTGGCCAGCCTATTACCCCAGCAGGGTACCTGATCACGGGCAGGGCGTACGTGTTGATGGCCCGGATCTTGTTCTTACCATTCAGCTGACTCCTCAGGACTTGCCTGACCCTCTGCAGGTACTTGGTGGTTGCAGCTTTTCTAGCGGCCTCTTCATGGTTCCCATTCGCCTGCGGGATCCCCAGGTACTTGTAACTGTCCTCTATGTCTGCAATGTTGCCTTCTGGTAGTTCAATCCCCTCAGTTCTGACTACCTTCCCTCTCTTTGTTACCATCCGACTACACTTCTCCAGTCCGAACGACATTCCAATGTCATTGCTGTATAGCCTGGTAGTGGATCTGGATCAGTGAATCAATGTCTCGTTCACTCTTGGCATACAGCTTGATGTCATCCATGTACAGGAGGTATTCTTCTTATTCTTATTTTTCCTATATTTATTGTTGCTCTTTTGCACTATATGGAACTGGAGCCTCGTCGTCTTGTCTCTCTATGTACTGAACTGTACATAGCAGAGGTGACAATGAGGTTGACTTTGACTTTGACTAAAAGTGCTTTATAAATGTGTGAGTGAGCTATGCAGTAATAAGCACTTTGAATGCTCAACTGAGTAGGAAGTTACTAAATAAGTTTATTTAACATCATGCCATCTTTACATTTTTTCTTATTAAGACTGTTTTAATACACTATGTCTATGACACAAACTTTTATTATTTGTAATTTCGCATCATGAAGAGAATAATAAATGATATTTATAAACACCATCAACTGTGAACAGCTTTATTTCCCGTAACGCTGTGAAACACAGAGAACAGGGGGCTGTAAATAACCACAAAGCTGCACAAAGTTCATCTGTTAATGCAAACTGACACTTGTAGGAAAACACCTTCTTACTACATGAACCCTACTATAAGCTAAACCAGAACACCTAGCAGTGCAAATTCTTTTTTTTTTCTTTTTTTCTTTTTTTTTTTGTGTCCCGTTTGGATCTTTAGCCATCAGAATTGTTGTTTTAAGGCCAAGAAAGATGCCAAGCGGATTTATTTTACCAAGTGGATCATCATGGCCTTGCCATATTGGTCCATTTAATTGACCTTTATTATAATTATGAATTTATTTTATTTTCGGTTTCTACAAACGGGACAGTCATGTCTGTCCCGTTTGTAGCAGTGCAAATTCTGATCAGCGTCAGACTACAGTTAACTGGAAACAACAAGAGGGAAGAGGTGCTGTGGTCTTACACAGAACTTTAAAGTGGTCAAAATGATTGAAGGTCAGTTTGAGCTACAGGTAATGACAGTTAATGATCTTTTGTCTGTTCAGTCTTTCTAACAACTTGTTCAGCCTCTTCTAGGCTGCTTTATTTTCCCCTTTGTGCACTGCTGGAATGTTCAAAGGCCCAGATGTGGTTTAAAAGTCACAACACGCCCGACTTTATAAAAGTTTTAACACATGAAACCCTTGGTGAATAAGGGCTTGCCTGCCTTTGCAAGAAAAAAATGGATATAGCAAGCTTTGACTTTGACTAAAAGTGCTTTATAAATGTGTGAGTGAGCTATGCAGTAATAAGCACTTTGAGTGCTCAACTGAGTAGGAAGTTACTAAATAAGTTTATTTAACATCTTGCCATCTTTACATTTTTTCATAATAAGAGTGTTTTAATACACTATGTCTATGACACAAACTTTTATTATTTGTAATTTCGCATCATGAAGAGAATAATAAATGATATTTATAAACACCATCAACTGTGAACAGCTTTATTTCCCGTAACGCTGTGAAACACAGAGAACAGGGGGCTGTAAATAACCACAAAGCTGCACAAAGTTCATCTGTTAATGCAAACTGACACTTGTAGGAAAACACCTTCTTACTACATGAACCCTACTATAAGCTAAACCAGAACACCTAGCAGTGCAAATTCTTTTTTTTTTTCTTTTTTTTTTGTGTCCCGTTTGGATCTTTAGCCATCAGAATTGTTGTCTTAAGGCCAAGAAAGATGCCAAGCGGATTTATTTTACCAAGTGGATCATCATGGCCTTGCCATATTGGTCCATTTAATTGACCTTTATTATAATTATGAATTTATTTTATTTTTGGTTGCTACAAATGGGACAGTTTGTAGCAACAGGTAAACTGAAGGTCAGTTTGAGCTACAGGTAATGACAGTTAATGATCTTTTGTCTGTTCAGTCTTTCTAACAACTTGTTCAGCTTCTTCTAGGCTGCTTTATTTTCCCCTTTGTGCACTGCTGGAATGTTCAAAGGCCCAGATGTGGTTTAAAAGTCACAACACGCCTGACTTTATAAAAGCTTTAACACATGAAACCCTTGGTGAATAAGGGCTTGCCTGCCTTTGCAAGAAAATAATGGATATAGCAAGCTCTGCATCTTATCTTAAAGACCTCTTAGTACCATCATTCCAATAGAGCTCATCGCTCTCAGACTGGAACTGTTGTTCCTAGAGTATTTAAAAGTAGAATGGGAGGCAGAGCCTTCAGTTTTCAGGCCCCTCTTCTATGGAACCAGCTTCCAGTTTGGATTTGGGAGCCAGACGCCATCTCTATTTTTAAATTTTCCTTTTTGAGAAAGCATATAGTTGGGCTGGATCAGGTGACCCTGAATCCTCCTTCAGTTATGCTGCAATAGGTGTAGGCTGCTGGGGGATTTTCACGAGTGTTTCTCCTTTACTTAGAATGCGTTTATACACCTCTCTGATTTAAATCATTCATTATTATTAATCTCTCGCTCTCTTCCATAGAATGGCTTTTTTCTGGTTTCTCTCCCTTCACACCCCCAACTGACAGTGGCAGATGGCTGCTCCACAATGTAATGTAATGTTGGACAGACCATCACACCATAGTTTGAAGTAACAACTGAATTTAACGGATTGTATTTTGTTAGATCATGAAGCATTCATGCATCAACCCCCCACCCCCACCCCCACGCCCCCACAGTCTGAATCTCACCTTCACGTTTCCTGTAAACACATCGTCTCACCAGCAGAACCAGTAACACCAGTAGAGCCACAACATAGACTGATCCAACACATGACAAAACAGAGAGAACAGCAGGAGAGAGTGATGGAGGAAGAGTGCTGGAGGTGGATGTAGGTGGAGGTGTGGTGGTGGGTTTATGTAAAATAAAGCAAACACAGTCATTAAGTTGTCGTCACATTGTGAATGTTGAACCTGCAGAAACACAGACAGGTGAGTGTGTCACCTGTGACAGTGATCCAGCTGGAATTAGACTCTCCATGACCGCTGATGTCACACTTGTAGAGGCCTTCATCAGACCTGGAAACATGCTGGATGGTCATGTGACCTGTAGGCTCCTCCCTGATGAGGGAGCCATCTTTATAGAAAGCAGCTGGGAGGTTGGAGGGAGTGGTCTTTGTTTTACAGAGCAGAGTGACGTCATCTCCCTCCATCACAGGGAGGACAGGACTCTGCAGGATCACTGATCCACCTCAACACAGAGACAAACTACAGCATTTCATCCATTTACACACAGCTTCATCAACACTAACTCCACACACTCAGCTTACCAGTGACTGTCAGGTTAACCATGTTACTGATGGGACCCTCTCTGGACTCACACCAGTAAACTCCACTGTCCAATGGGTCGATGTAGCTGATGTTACAGGAAGAACCAGCTGGTTTTCCCCACCCATCTCCACACTGAGTCTTCGTTTGTGTCTTTGGGTTTCTCCTCAGAGTCCATCCAGCAGAGCTGTCGTCCTCCTCACAGCTCAGAGACACAAAGTCTCCTTTAAAGAACTGAGAGCTGCTGGGACTCACAGTCAGACGAGCTGCCAGGAAGAGGATATGATGTGAATCAATTTTCAAAAGAGAACGACCAACTGAGTTTCATAATCTTTTACTGTTTCAACTACAGTAACACAGCCACCCAAAATAAAACATATATTGCACTATAAACATATAATGCAGTAAACATCACGTGTCTTCAGTATTCCTAAATCACTTTACATTTAAAATGTGATACTGATAGTAAAGACAGTAGCCAAGTATGCAGTCAGATCCAGGCTGGTCCAGGTTCAGTGCTCTCAGATGCACAGTTATAATTAATGTTATTAAAAACACCAAAAAAGGTGGTTTTGGATTTAATGCCTCAGTTTTTAGAGACAAGCTTTATTGAAAGTTTATACGTGGCAGACAGCATTAAAAATAAGATGCAGAAAATCTCTATTTAAGACTCTTTGAGATGTTTTGGATGATCATGCTGAGGTCACTGACCTTGGTTTGTTGTGCAGCACAGCAGTAAGTTCAGACCTAAAGAGAAATGATATCAGTCAATCTGAGTTTTCAGCTGGTTCACATTACAGCAAAGCTCCTTCTGGTACCACGTCTCCCCTTTAGGGGACTTTTAGCTTCTGCTTAGGCCTTTTCTAGCTGTTCGTTTGTCTGTTTTTGTTTTTGTTTTTAAAACTATATCCATAAATATCATGAATGTGTCACAGAGACACAGACAGCTGCTAATCAGTGTCAGTAACAGACAAATAAAATAGGTTCAGTTTCCCACTTCTGGGATAGCTGAGGTGAACGGCAGCAGACAGAAGGTACAGCCCCTGTGTCAACATCCGCCTGTCAATCAAACAGGCCACACCTACAATAATATCAACTTTAAGCCTTCATTCCTCAAGATACAAATTAAAAATACACACTTTAAAATATGTTCTTTCCTGATTTCTCGGTTTTATGTACAAACAACACTGGTTCATCTGTGATTCATAAGTCAGTGTTAAATAGCTTAATGCTTAAAACTGTGGCTCAAGACTTTTGCACAGTACTCTGTCTCACAACATATGTCACCACCCTTGTATAACTCAGCTGATATGCTATAAAAACAGTTAACTGCATTTGGAAGTGAAAGATTGAACTTACAGAGCAGCTGCTGAAGAGATGCTGGGTTCATCTTGACTGAGCTCAGACAAAGCAGTTAAATCAACTTCCTTCTGCATGCAAGGCTACATTTACTGCTTTGTGGTTTTCTTGTTGACATTACGACAGCTGATTTAAAATAGCACAGATGATCGAACTCCATGTGACCTTTCTATGTTATGCTTTAAAGCGTTGTACTTTTGTTAAAATGGTAAAAAAAAACAACAACCCTGTTTTTCAACTGTCAACTTGAGAAATAATCTTTTATAGCAGGTAGCTGTTGTGTGTTTGGGGCTAGTATGAGACCCTCTCTCTCCCACCCTCCCCACTCCCCCATTCACTTCTTCAGTCAACAAAGTAGAACTCTTTGAACACAACCATTTTTCACCCAAGCCTTTGGTGATTGCAGAGATACTCAGAATTCCACCTTAAGGCATAGTAGACCCTAAATTTCATCACAACACCTTTAAAAATCACTACAGTAATACTAGTACTGATGATGTATTTTACTATTATTTTGATATTGTTTTCTAATGTTATATTTGCCAACTGGAGAGAGTGAAAAGCGGCCAGTATTGTTGATGTCTTAAAGAGACAGTGACCTCACACAGAGGCGTTTCTGCTTGTTGATGATGAAGAGGTAATTTAATGACACAAATCAGTGATGCTGATTTAAAGAACACTTTGTTCTGATGTTGTGACTTTGTCTGCTTCTTTATATTTGTTCTCTAAACACCGTCAAAAAAGTGTCGCAAAGCATGAGACATAATCCACATGTAAACTAAGCTTTGCAAATGTGTGCAATGATTTGCGTGTAAATTTTGAGGACCCACATGCAGGTGCTTCAATCCACACACATATACGAGGCAATCTGACCACCACGTAAAACTATTTTACAAATGTGCAAAAGCCACTGATCGTTTAAGCACAGTTTACTAAGTTCAGCTTCCTGAATTTGAAAATTTTACCTTTTGAAAACCTTTCTGAGCGTACAAATATCTAAAAGTACACACGACATCACTCTTGCCCACAAAAGCTTATCCTCCTAGGACCCTGCGTCCACATATGTGGACATCAAATTTTGGGTTATTTAGAGCAAAATACTCAATTTTGCTCTACATGGGCCTGATAGCCACTTACGAGTACATTATACTGCTACTCTTGTATCAAAATTTTAAATGAATATCCTCATATGTGGCTCTTATTTTTCTTAAAAACAAAAATAAGGTAAAAAAAAAAAATCTGGTAATTCTTTATTTTCACATTCATCGGGCCCCAATATGCCCAAATATCAAAGAGAAATTAAAAATGCTGTGGAAGAGTTCGGGTCTTAGGAGGTTAAATATGTGTGTGCGAATCACCGCACGGATCACTTCTCACACCCATGTGGGGTTTGAGACAAATGTAACGCTGGCAGCTTCCCACAAAGCCACATATGTAAGATGCGTTCAAGTCCCAGGGTAAAGCTGACATCTGAGCTTCCACTGCATGTATGTGTTTTTTCTTTCAAATAAAAACACGCTTCTTTTTCTACATAAACGGAACATAGATTTACCATTATCAGCTTTATTATTTTACTTTGATAAACATTTCTATTCCTATTGAAGATCAGGGGTGTGTGAGTATGCCCACTCCTGTTTCTTCACATCCCAACTCTGGATTAAAATGTAAAGGTGCAAAAAAACGAAACTGTCACAGCTGTCGAGGAGAGCCGTGTGGAGGTAAAAGGACCCTAATGCAGGCAGTTGACTGATAGTGCAAGTGACGTTTATTTACAAGTAATAGAGTGACGGAACAGGCAGTGAGGAATAGTGATGGGACGTTCTGTATCGAGGCTTCGGAGCGTGTGTCGAGTAATGGAGGGGGCGTTTCCGCGATGCGCGTTTCGAGGCTTGCTTCATTTATGGGAGGAGCTGAAAATGATGACGTCCGAAGCCTCGCTGCCCGGCTGTACCTGACTGGTTCATGAAGTGGTTCGAACTTTGCCGCGAGCTATGACAGATATAAACCCCTCAGACTTCATTCAAAAATGTTGTTGTTTGATGGAGAGTTGCGGTTAGTGAGAGTTTGGAGACAGTTTGGAGGTTTATGAGAGTGAGGAGAGAAAGTCAGGAGAGAATGGAGCCAGCTAAGAAGAGGAGGATGTCCTCCCCTGTGTGGGAACATTTTAATTTTATTCCTCCCAGCAAGGTATGTAAATTTCCACAGAAGATGTATTTTCATAATACTGATGGTGCAATACAATTTATGTTAAGCTGTCTGTACTTTTGTAAGGTGAAGTGTTTGTTATGTGCCAGGGAGCTGGGATATAACAACAACACCTCATCCATGCTTAGGCACTACAGAGCTTTGCATGAGAATAAGGGGGACACCGATTGTGGAGCAAGACCAGGTGAGCCATCAAATGTCATGATAATATAGCATGCAGTAATGTTACTAAGTGATATAACAATATTATACAACTGTTATAAGTTACATGTGTGATATTTATATTTGTGCTTTGTCTTTATTGTCTTTCCTCAGGAGAACAATCTCAAATAGATGAAGACCTGGTCAGCATGGTGATTGAGGACTCCCAACCATTTAGCATTGTGGAGGACAAAGGATTCAAAAGATTTGTTAAATCATTAAATCCTAGCTATGTTCTCCCACTAAAAAGGTCATAAAAGCAGTGAAAATTTAGTTTTTACAGAATAAAATGTGAACAGGCAGGACTGACGCCTCAGTGTGTAGCTGTCCATACCTCAACGTTACAAAAGCACAACCACTGTCCACACCCCAACCACACCTCACCTCACAGTAAATGATCATTTCCATTTCAAGCATTTCCAAATGATCATTTTCCATACTGCCAGTATAAATATACACAGTATACTGCCATCTCAGGAGACTGAAAAGATTCGGCATGAGCCCCCGCATCCTCAGGACCTTCTATCACTGTGCCATTGAGAGCATCCTCACCAGATGCATCACCACCTGGTATGGCAACAGCACCGCCTACAACTGCAAAGCTCTCCAGCGAGTAGTGCGGTGCTCTGAACGGATAATTGGAGGTGAGCTTCCCTCCCTCCAAGACATCTACAGGAAGCGCTGCCTGAGGAAAGCGGGGAGGATCATCAAGGACTCCAGTCACCCCAGCCATAAACTGTTCAGACTGCTTCCATCAGGAAGGAGGTTCTGCAGCATCCGGTCCCGTACCAGCAGACTGAGAGACAGCTTTTTCCATCAGGCCATCAGACTGCTGAACACTTCATAGACACCTCAGCTTCACTACTGGAACTTCAACACTATGCACTCCACACACTGTACAGTAATGCCACTGTTTTGCACATATTCAACTCTGTATATTTTTATATATTTTATTTATTATTTTTTTACTATTTAATTTGTAAAAATGTGTATACACACACACACACACACACTCACACACACACACACACACGTAGGATAATATTTAGTATACACATCCAGAAATGCATACACTATTATATATTGTACATATATTTATTAATTTCAGGTTGGCCATTCTTGTATTTTGCTCGTTTGTGTTGTTGTGTTTGCACATCTCTGTTGCTTGTGGGGCTCGCACACAAGAATTTCACTCGCATGTGCTGTGCCAGTGTGCCTGCACATGTGAGGTGACAATAAAAGTGATTTGATTTGATTTGATCACTACAATATACATGTTTTACACACTCCTTTTGTTGTTGACATTTGCAGGCTGTGTGCAAAATGCCACACTCTTCAAATTCATGCCAACTAATATTTCTACGTCCAGTAGGTGTCCTACTAGAGCAAATGAAGCTTCACGCTGGGGTGAACCAATTGGATTAAGAGCTTCAGTACTTCATGAAGCTTCAACTGCCCATCACTAGTGAGGAATGACAAATGACATGGAAAACCTAAACTTGGAAAACTAAATGACAAACATAAGAAACGGGGTGCAGAGTAGAGAGCCGCAGATAGAGGAACAAAACACCATGAAACACAGACAAACCGGCAACAGGCAGGAGAACACACAGGGCTTAAACACACACAGCAGTAATCAGGGGATGAGAGACAGGAGGGCAACACAGCTGGGAGAAATCAGAGCTGAGGGGACAGGGGAAACGTAACCTGAACACACTCACATGAGACGGAGACCTTCAGAATAAAACAGGAAACTCAGACACAGAGAACCAGACAAGACAATGAACCACACAGACAGATTCACAAACAGACAGTGTGACACCAGAGGCAGACAGAACACAGAAGTGGGACCAGGGCAGGCACAGAACAGAAACCTAACAAATGGCAAATTATAACAGAATACATACTCAGAATAAACAAAAGCATAAAGAAACACAAAACACTGAGTCGGCAGACTCAGGACCATGACAGAAACAAACAGCCTCAATGTCCTGTCATCAGTGACAGGACCGTGATGGATGCCTGGTGGAATTCTGACTGACTGTCAGCTGGTGGGTGACTGTAACCATATCCCCCACCTGTGACCAGGACGATGCAACCATGATTATTAAATCCCATAATAGCATCATTTACATCATTTACTACATTTATAACTTTCAAATGTGTTCAGGGATTCTATAATTATCACAGAATCACAATGTTGAGGCTGACTATAAAATATTGATGTACGCTTACAGCAAATAAAACACAGGTTGTGCACACCTGACAGAAAGTGATGCTTGCATTTTATGATTATTGCTGACTTGTGTTTCTGAACATGAATGATTATTTTATTGCACAGCTCATGGTCTAATGTTCAAATGTAAATACATTATGTGTAAATACTTTTGGCAGTAGTGTATATGCTGACAGCCTCCTGCAGCAGCTCACCCACACTGGACACCTTTTGAGAAGAGAACTGTTTTCCCTCCCGAGCAACCTGACAGTTTGCCAATTTTTATAGAGGCAGACCAAAAATCTTTTTCAATTTTTAACATCTTCATCATGTTTTGTACAATACGTCCACCACCCCTCCTGTGGACAAGTCCTTGCTTTTCTTCCATCTTGTCCCTCACACCCAACATATCTGTCCTCCTTCTATCTTCATTCTCTCTGGTGTGATTTTACAGAACATAAAAACATTTACAGTGACTGCTCTCATCAGCACAATCCTGCCTTTCCTGCTCTCCTGCTGCCTCCTAACATTCTTTTTTAATGACCTCCATGTTTTGCAGTTGCTTCCTGACACATTTCCTTCCTGACAAAGCCCTGCCCATGTATGCGGGTTTGAGATCGACAGTAAGAGTGCATACTGGGCTGGGCTTCCCTGTCGTGTACACACTCTGTACTACAAACATTTATCACACTTTCATTGAGAGTTTTAATGCAATTTAGCATTTATTTTCTGCTATACAAAGACTCTACAGGTGCCTAGAGCTCTACACCTGTAGATTTTTTTTTTTTAATCAAGCTAAGCTTCCTCGTGTGATTAGTGAAATACTTCCATGCTTACCAAGTGTAGCTTATAAACAATGTAAGCTGCAAAGAGAGGGAAGCAGTGGTTTGTGTTTTTGGAATGATAGATAAAAGTCCTCATCAGTATAGTAGGACTTGACTTAAGCGGCCAAAGAAGTGCAGGAGACTGATGCTGTCACCGTTTTGTGACCCAAACAATATTTACAAAGAAACAAATAAGAAACTCAACTCCAAATTAACTCAGTTCAAATAAACATAACTGAACTTAAATCAATGAAAATTACGGTCAAACTGCACACAGCTACACTGACCTGGTCCTTTCTCCTCAAACACCTGAGTTCTGCTTAAATAATAATAATGGATTGCATTTATATAGCGCTTTTCGGGACCCCTCAAAGCTTTACAATACCACTATTCATTCACTCTCACATTCATACACCAGTGAAGGCAAGCTACAGTTGTAGCCACAGCTGCCCTGGGGTAGACTGACAGAGGCGAGGCTGCCATATCGCGCCATCGGCCCCTCTGGCCAACACCAGTAGGCGACAGGTGAAGTGTCTTGCCCAAGGACACAACAACCGAGACTGTCCGAGACATGGCTCGAACCGGCAACCTTCCGGTTACAAGACGATTAGCTGGTATGACATCATACCATCCAATGAAGGCCTCACATTATTATTTTACATTCATTATTAACATTTAACCTTCACACCTTTAGAATCTTTTACATTTTAAACTATGATATTTTTGAACTCAAACCTAAAACAGACAAAATCTTTTTACTAGATTCTAAACACTTGTTTATACAGACAGACGAATAGGCTTCACCTTACCTCATAATTTCCTGTAAGTTCCCTTTTTTTCATGTGGTGGAATTTCCTCTCACAGGGGGCGTGATATTGCTCAGGGTATCAGTCATACACCGCATAAAATAACTTTAGGTAAATTTAATAGCTTTAAAGAGCATCTGTATATTGTTTATTATTGTTTTTTTAATCCAGGAAACTACCAACAATGAAGCTGTGGGAGATAAGAAAGGAAATGCTGTTAAAAACAGCTTTAACTGCGTTTGTCCTCTCATGTTTCCTGGGACGTCTGGACTGTGAAGGTAAGATGTGTTAATCCTGTAAAACATTAAATTGTAGTTAAATTCAAATGCTAATATACAGAACAGGTTCAGTACATCAGCCTCTCAACTGTCTGGCCTTATGTACAGGTCCTTTAGAAATAAACTATGAAATGAATAACAAGCCATCGCTGTCTTGTACACAAAAATCAACAAATTTCTGTATTAAACACCCTGAATGTGACTGACAAGTACAAACAGGTTTTTATACCTTTGTTTTATCATTTTGTACAGACTCTGGCCTTTTCCACAGAGTATGTGAAGCCATTTTACCCATTTTAGCTCAGTAAAACCCACACCACAGTCTACAAATGTTAAAAAAAAGCGTATAAACTCTGAAGTTAGACATTCAAAACCCACTGAAGTTCATGATTTAACATGCTTGTGATGGACCGAGTTGAAAAACAGGAGGAGCCCAGGAATTATTAGAAAAATATGGTTTCCATTTATTTAACCCCCAAAAATTATATTTACAAGACTAATAAAGGTTGAGCTCATAAAACAGGTCACAGAAACAAAACTGAACCCAGGCAAAGACTGCAAACTTAAACCAAATGACTGCTCAAACATACATAATTGACCTAAACATATTTCATGTTTAGGTCAATTATGAAAAATGACATACAAGGGTATATATAATGGCTGATCAGACCATTGTGACACATGAGGGGTAACAAACAAAACACAATCATAAATCACAAACGATGCAGTACAATCTAGTTTGTTAAGAAACTAAACACTAAAGAAGAAAATCAAAAACCCAATTAAACCCTAAACTCAAATATTTAATTAAATACAAATACTTTGTTTTTAAAGTAAAGAAAACACACATTCCCCCCCTTCGGCAGGAAGTGGTGGTATGGTCCAATTATCTTCCTTTGTATTTAATGGTTTCAAACCCTGGCTACCATCTTTTTGTCCGGCAACTCCCAGGGATGATAGCAGGTAAGAAATAAAAAGACAAAGGTTAGTCAGAAAGCAAAGAAATGAAGTGTAAACTTCATTTACAAACTTCATTTAAGTAAACTAAATGTGCGCGCTTACAAATAGAACAAATGTATCCAAACCAATCAATAAAGTTATTGGAAACTAAAATGTATTACTATGTTCAAATGAAGAATGAAAATACGAAAGTTACCGACTTTAGAGTGTGGCCACGGGTTTGGCCATCACAATGCTGGATGTGTAAACATATCTGGGTCTGAATGTAACGCAGTAAAGCTTTTTTACTCGCTTATAAATTCTCACAGAATTTACACAAAAATAAAAACTCAGGTTTCTGATATTTGAAGCACAATAATAAGTGTGTTTGAATTATTGGATGCATATTATCTTTATGACTGACCTGTTTTCTAATTATTTTAGAGCTAACAGTCAAACAAGCAAAGGATGTAACTCTGGAGTGCTATGGCCCCAGTGATGCTAACATAATGATAAGCTGGCAAAAGCCTGACCTGCAGTCAGAGTATTATGTGTTCTACTTCAGCGATGAACACATTCACAAAGACAAACAGCATGAATCATTTAAAGGTCGAGTGGAGCTGAAAGATCCAGAGATAAAGAATGGAAACTTTTCTGTGATTCTCAAAAATGTCACCATGAACGACGCTGGAAAATATGAATGTTATGCTGGATACAACAGACAGAGACCTCAGCTTTTGAAGAGCATCAACCTGAAGGTAGAAGAAGGTGAGTGTGAAGTTGAGCTGCTTCCTGGTTGTTGATGTTTGTTTCTAAAGATGTTGTTGATGAGACTTTGCAGAAAGCAGCTGGTCTGAGTGATGTGATCAGAGTGCAGTAGATAATGTCTGACAGCAGTTTGAAGAGGAAATGGATTCTGTTCTGTTCTTCACTCATCACCTACCTGACAGCTGACACCTCACACCTGTTTCTCACCTGCAGGTCAGACAGTACTCGATAAGGACAAAGACCAGAGGAGTGGAGCTGATGGTGTAGAAGTTGACATGTCGATTTCCGTTGTGCTTGCTGCTGCTGTTTTGTTGTTTTAGCCGTCTGTTGAACTGCAGCCAGTTTGAAAGGCCACAGATGGAAATATCACAGTGTATATTCACTCCACCCACCCACTCAGCATTCACAGTGACAGATGTGCTGAGGACAGACAGAAGTTAACGATGCACAATTAAACTGGAATTTAGCACCTGGAGGAAACATTAAGTTATGTTCGTGTTTGTGATTATCTGAAGTTTCCTGCTCAACATACATGTTTGTTTACATTGTTATCTGCTGCCTTTTTTAGTCACCATCAAATATCACTGAGCTATTATGAATTCTGAATTTTACATTTTGATATTTTTGTCCTACATATTTTTCATTTTACATGATTTTTGCATTTTTAAAGGCTTAAAATACTGTTGAGAAGGAAGGTTACATTACATAGAAAGAGGGCCAAATATAAGCCTTGATGGCCATCACTAGTCCACTGGATGACTTTGAAAAATATAAAATGTGAATTAAAAAAGAAAAAGTAAGATGTTGGACTATTTACTGTATTTTGTCATTAACAGTGGATAACATCATGAGAATCGATCATAGATTAATTTTTTTTAAACTATTAGTATAAAGAACAAAGTTTTTATAACAAATTTTCAGGATTGATGAATCTGTAACATCAGCAAAATGTTTTACACTTGGTCATGTGCAATAAAGGACATGTGAATGAATCCAGTGCATGTACGAGCAGATTAACACTAGCCTGGCTTGCAACAAACACTCTGAGAGATATCGTTGTATTATTGTTAGATATGCTGTTTCTACTACTTTACTTTCAAACCATCTGTCCTCTCTGTCCAAAACGTGAACATCGGCATCCTTGAAAGTGTGACCTTTGACCTTTAGGTGCAGATGTAGAGCTGAGTCTTGCCCTGTCGAGGTGGCGCGTCTATGTTTTGTGGCTGTTTGGTCTCACCAGTGTAGAGGTCTGAGCACTCCTCGCTGTACTGCACAGCACACACTATGTTGACTGGCTTGTGTTTGGGAGTTTTGTCCTTGGGATGAAACATCTGTGAACGACCATCTCTGAACAGAGGAGGTGGCTCACAACACCGACTGTCCGCCACCTACAACCCAGTTTTGAGATCTTGATCACATCCTGCAACAGCTGATCTCAGTAGGTCACATGACAGGATGAGGCAAGATCTCACAATGGTGGTAAATGTGGTATTGGAACCATTTTACCGGTTGTAGGTTGATTGGTGGGTGTGACTGCAAACCTGCTTGATCAGGGATGAGTTCATTCCTTGTGTTACAGTGCCATCTTGTGGTGGTTTTGAGAATCGTTGCGAATAGAGTTTGTGCAGTACATTTAAGAATGGTGCGCTTCTTTAATCGGACTGTTAAGAGGCCCGTTCCAATAATTTTTATTCCATATTTATGCTGTAATGATTTTTGTCCTTTTTCAGAGAATCCACATATTATTTAACACTCATCTACTATCACACTACATATAAAATGAACTGCATCTCTTACAGCTCGATCCCGTGGTGTAAGCCTCTCCTAATGACCGAGGATAACCAGAGTAGCACAAAGTTGAACAGACGCGCCTCATTCTGAGCAGAATTATTCAATTATGTTTTCATACATGTGCGGATGCAGGTGTGTGAGTGAGAGAGCAAGAGAAGGACTGAAAGAAAGCATGGAGGACTTGACTAAACCATGTAATCAAGATGTAAATCAACTTTGGGTTTGAATCAGCTCCAAGTACACAGCTGAGTGTGACAAGTGTTGTTGGCTTGTTTAGAAACATTTTGTGTCCTGATAGAATCAAAATTGTATTAACATCAGCTTCTTTTCAGCAGTTAGTAAGTTTGTGTCTCTTGACACTGTGGGGAAAATTGTATTTCATCTTATTTAACCTCACTGTATAAGGCAGGTACCTACATGACCACGACAAAAAAACAAACAAAAAAAACCTTCCTACAGCTGATTCTATCCACTCATGAGTTTTTTTCTCTTCTTTTCATCCTGCATTGATTCCTTTGCAAATGATTTTATTAATAAATCTGAGGATATCAGTTTTGGTTTCAATGGTCAGTTTATTTTTCCACAGCAGATGCCAGCTGGATTGGGAATTATGACCATGTTTAGTTAGATCTGGTGACTACTCTTTGCTTCTTTGCCTCTCACTGGCAGGTCACAGTATATGTTAAAAACAGTATATGCTAAAAGTACACAGGGTGGGTCAAAATTTGACCACCTTTCACAATTTTTTCCCATCATGTTGGAGGCTTCGTAGCTTCATTAGTACAGATGATAAACTGATTAAGTGCTAATCAAAAACTGCAACCAAAATAGTTTTATAATCCCAATTCCAAAAACAGGATCCCGTGTAAAATGTAAAGAATCACATAATGCAATGATTTGCAAATCTCAGAAACACAACCTTTAATCACTGTAGAAAATAAAATCGTCAAATGTTTAAACTGGTAAAATGAACTGCTTTAAGAAAAAAATGTCTGCTTAATTTGTATTTAACTTATAGAGAAAATTGATGTAGAAAACATCAGGCAGGATCTTTTAGGCTGTGTTTGGCCCTGTGTCATCACACAGACAAGTATCTGCCTTTTTCCCTAAAGCCTCTTAAGATCCTGCTGAAACAGGTCATAAGATTGGGACCGGAATCTCTGTGGTGACAAAAGAGCCTAGAGAAAGTGTGTAAGCAGCCTCATACAGTCAGGAGGAGTGAAATGTATCATTAAACTCACAGCTCAGCTCCTGGAAGCAGTCTCCTATAGACGGGCTGGACTTAGACTGGAGTTTCCCTCAGTGAGAGGCAGCGAGAGGGCATGAGTGTTTCTCCGGTTCAGTACCTGTAAACTGAGGTTTCCTGTGATGGATGAGACAGTTGTCTTATTTCACTTTGAGCTGAATGTTTGTAAAAGGACCCAGAAATACTATTCAAGTGCACTGAAACCTGGCAGTTCATCAGTCACCATTACAGGTCTGGGACCCTGCATTCTCACGCTGTATAATCTGCTGCTGTCACTTCATTCGGCTTGGTGCTCTCCTGCCTGCCATTGTGTAATAATGACTCTTAGCTTCTTTGTTTGTTGATGTTTTCTGTTCCATAAATCTGTCTGATACAACACCCTATGTGACCGATCTCCTTTCCTCACTCGATTAGTTTCTATTTCGGTGTGATTAAAAAGCAGTATGTCCAAAACCAACAACAGGCCACCAGGAAACAGATTTAAAGGCTGCTCTGAGAGTCCTGACAGGGACTAGAAAGAGAGAGCATATTTCTCCTGTTTTGGCTTCCCTTCATTGGCTTCCTGTTAAATCCAGAATTGAATTCAAAATCCTGCTCCTCACATACAAGGTCTTAAATAATCAGGCCCCATCTTATCTTAATGACCTTGTAGCACCATATCAGCCTATTAGAGCGCTCCGCTCTCGCTCTGCAGGCCTACTTGTTGTTCCTAGAGTATTTAAAAGAAGAATGGGAGGGAGAGCCTTCAGTTTTCAGGCCCCTCTTCTGTGGAACCAGCTTCCAGTTTGGATTCAGGAGACAGACACTATCTCTACTTTTAAGATTAGGCTTAAAACTTTCCTTTTTGCTAAAGTATATAGTTAGGGCTGGACCAGGTGACCCTGAATCCTCCCTTAGTTATGCTGCAATAGACGTAGGCTGCCGGGGGATTCCCATGATGCACTGAGTATTTTTTCTTCAGTCACTTTTTTCACTCACTATTTGTTAATTGTCCTCTCTGCATTAAATCATACTTGCTATTAATCTCTGGATGTTTTCCACAGCATGTATTTTATCCTGTCTTTCTCCCCTCACCCTCAACTGGTCACAGCCCTCCCTGAGCCTGGCTCTGCTGGAGGTCTCTTACTGTTTTCCTTCCCTTTGTTGCCAAGTGCTTGATCATAGGGGGTCTTCTGATTGTTGTGTTTTTTCTCTGTATTATGGCAAGATCTTCACATTACAATATGAAGCATCCCAAAGGAAACCGTTGTTGCGATTTGGTGCTTTTGTATTGACATTATATTGGATGGGTGTTCTAAACCAGAATTTGTCTTAAACTGTCACAAGATACATCATTTCTATGAGGCCTTTCAGGTGAAGCTCTTTTTTAAAGATGAACAGCTCTGAAACAGGATCCTGTGTTTTTTAGAACTCCACCCTTGTTTTTCTTTTTCGTTCTGAAACAGATTAACTCCATCTTCCTTGAAAGGCAAACACAGCGAGCTGCTGAAAATAAACACACCAGTCATCCCACTCACTTTAGTTCAACAACTTTGGGGTAATGTAGGCAGATTTAAAGTTTAATGTTTTTAATGTTTGCCTCAGCAGGTGAAATCTAGCTTGTACACACACACACACACACACACACACACACACACACACACACATGCTCATTTTCATATCTTAGTGAGGATATCTCATTGACATAATGCTTTCCCTAGCTGCTAACCCTAACCATCAAAAATGAATGCCTAAACCTAACCTTAACCTAATTGTAACCCTGACACTAAAGCAACATTTTGTGCCTCAAAAATCCCTTCAAACTCATGGGGATCCATATTTTGTGCCCATAAGTGACTGTTGATCTCCACAAGTAGAGCTGTAGAGTAGCATGCCAATTTTCTGTTCTCACAAATAGGTCTAAACATGGCCACACACAGTACAGGTCAGTCTGGGAACATTCCTGGAATGCATTGTTGTGTTGTTATCTTAGTGCTCTCCCAGAGTATACTACCAAGCCAGTTTACTTATACTGACAAATCCAAGCCAACATATATGGGAGTAAGGGCAATCAGTCTTTGGCAGATCCAACATCCTGACTCTAAATTTCAAAACAACACCACACACTGATGTGACCTGTGCTCATTGATTCATTCCCGTGGCTTGACACTGCGCCACAAATAAAGAGTTAAAGCAGCCTAAAACTGATCTGTTTCAGAAAGGAGGTTCAGCGCAAAGTCTGATAACCTGGATATGAGTGTCTGTTACCACCTGACTCCTCCCCTTCTTCTATACCTGCTCTATTTACTTTTTAGGTACACTCAAAGCTTTTGTCTGCAAGTTTATTACTTTACAAACATTGAAATCAGGGTTAAATCAGTTCTTAGACAACAATCTCTCATCAGTGTGAAGGCAGGGAGGGCTCACAATGAAATCTATACATTTTTTCAACTCTGTGACAGTGAACGGTCCAGCTGCTGTTCCTACTGTAATAATTGCTGCTTAAATAAAGTCTGTTTGCTTATGACTCATTTGTTATTTTGGGATCTGTCACACTGAAGGAACAGATCACACCATACCTGTGCTCTCTGTTTGCTTCTCCCTGTGAGCTGAGCAGTTTGTCCCCTTACCTCTCTGCTCTGTGTTGTTTCCTCTTTCCGACCAGAAGATCTTCACAGCTTAGTCTGGACAGAACGTCACTCTGACATGTCGAGCTCCAAATATCAGTGTTCCCATCAGAGCTGTGGAGTGGTTCAGACTTGACCTGCTGGAAGGACATGTTCTCATGTACCGGGGTGAGCAGTTTGTTTCATTCAACCAGCTTCCATCGTTTGTGAACCGGGTAGATCTGCAGAACAGACGGATGCAGGACGGAGACGTGTCTTTGGTTCTGAAGGATGTGACAAGAAATGACACTGGAACATATCAGTGTTATGTCATTCAGAGAGGAAAGAACCACAGGAAGTGCACTGTGGA